ACAGTTGACGGGGGGGGGGGGGGGGGAGGGGGGGGGGGGGAAGGGGGGGGGGGGGGGGGGGGAGTTCAGCCAGGGCTTGACTTTTGTCTTCTGCTCCAACACACACACATACACTTGTGTGTGTGTGTGTGTGTGTGTGTGTTTCCTCCTCAGGTCAGTCCTGATGAAATCACATCTCAGATCTTCCCTTCAATCCTCCACAAACCTGTTAAAGTCTTCGGTGTCGGGGAGAAAGTGTCGGAGATAAGAGTCGATTAAAGAGTCGGTTTTCATATTTTTCTTCACTGCTGGGATTTATCTCTGCGATAAGTTTTTAAAATGTTTTGAAAAGGTTTTGAAAAGTTGAACCAAAGCTGAGGTTCCTGTGACCCTGACTGACGTCTTTAGGTGAAGACTCGTGGTTATAAAAGAGAAAAACCGCTAACGATTTTTACAGATATTACATAATTATGCTAACAACGGACCGATCATATCGGACGACATCATTTTTTTTTTTTGTGGAGGTTAATTCCAGTCCAGTTAATAAATTCTGTGGAACTGCAGACCCGTGGTAGTTCAGAGAAACAAATACCCCGTGGCAGCTGCCGTCTTCATTCCTTTCAGATTTTTTATTTTTTTTTCCCCTGTAATGAAGAACCTCGTGTTCTGTCTGAAGGCCAAGAAAAAATCCAACCATCTGGAGGCGTTCTCTCCAAATATTCAGTCCATCAACCGCACAACCGCACAAACACACACACGAGTGTTCTCTTCAAGGATGGAGCTGGTCAGGGTTGATGCTGAAAAGTTCTGTTGGTTCTGCACATGGATTCTTTAATTTTAAGAGGGTGAAATACTTCCTCCAACCAGACATTGAAAGATTTTTTTTTTTCCCCCTTCGACCCCCTCCCAGGGTGACTCCATCACCACCACCACCGTACAGTCCCGGTGACATTTTTATATGTCGTCATCGTGTGTGTGTGTGTTGCCACCACTTGTTGCGAGCTGCTGATGACTGCAGTCAGCAGGGCGGTACTGCAGCTCTCTGGGGAGCTCAGCCTGCGGGGCGCGTGCAGAAGAGAGGACACGTCAGCAGACATGTCGCTGAGACGCGGAATATATTTGCTGTAAAGCACGAAGCATGAAATGCTGCTGGGAGTCTGATAAATATTTTTTTTTTTACTTTTCTTTCCTTTGATTTCATTTGTACTTTTTAATATATTTCCAAACAAATATATATATATTTAGTTCAGTCCAGTAATTGAAGGGTTAATTTTTATCTTCCTAAGTATTTTGTACATTGAACAAATATGAAGCTTGGCTTTGAACCCCGTATCGACCCAAATATATATTTTTCTATAAAGAGAGAAAGAGTTCCTGTTTGAACAGGAAGTGCTGACTGTGAAGTACAGGCCTTTGATTCTTATCCTCCAGCCTCGTATTTGACAACGTCTGTAGATGAAAACAGTCGGCTGCAGAAACCACTTCATTACATTTCTATTTCATGGGAAAACTGTCAAATCTGTTTGGTTTTTTTTTTTTGGTTTAATCCACAGTCGTTTTCTTCCCACTTCAAAGACTCCTGTATCAGCTTCCACA